TTCGATCAAACCAGAAGATGACGGCGGATATCTCCTGACCATCTGTCGATTGGCGTTGTCGCTGCTGTTTTTGCTGCTGCTTCCGAAGGAATCCCCTTCGATTCTGGTAAAAATGTGCTAAGCTAACGTACGTCGTATGGCAGACATCAGAGCAGAATATAATCCTTTCAACCATATTCAAAATAACAAGTAAAGAAAATTTCATTAGCTTGAATATAGTTTTGAGGATGATATCCTTCTCTGATGCTGTTCGTCATATGACGAACGAAAGCTTAGCACCTTTTCACCGGAATCGAAGGAGATTGTCTCGGAAACGGCGTCAGCATGAATGTTCCAGTAAAGCCAATCGACAGCTTTTCAAAAGTAATCCGCCGTCGTCTTTTGGTGGAACCCACCTTTGAATCTCTTCATTCAACACTTTCACTCGAAATGGAAGTGAGCACAACAAATTGAAGTTTTCCTCCAATTTCACACGACCCAGATTCGGATCCCGGATCCAGGACAGAAGACCTGACAATTAGGTTCTTAGACAAGTTGGCACCGTAAAAGTTGCAATACATACGATATACCCTGATTTTTGGTTATGTTTTTCCTCCTTCTGCTGCCTGCTTGTCTACTGGTAGGAAGCTTAGCATAGCTTTACACACTTTTATACTTTTATACAGTTTGGCAAGCATGCTTGAGAGACAACATTGACTGTAAATGTACTAAAGTACTGTCTAATTTTGTCTCTTATTTAGGCCATTCTACCACAAAGCGTACAGTACGACCTTCAGGATGAAGAATTCTGGAACCCGCGTCTTCTGATCGACAATGCTCAGGGTGAGCCAAAGGAGATTGTTAGCCACGAGGTGGAGTTTGTGGCGCCAAATCATGAGGCATATTTTGTGGAGAAGCGACGAATCAAGGGTGTCTTTCACGAAACTCTGGAATTACGACATTTCCCCTTTGACTGCCAAGTAAGTCATGTATTTAGCCGTTGACGACCGCCAGTTTCCGTCTCATTCATATCAAGCATAGGTTATTGCCAATTCACCTGATTCTGATGACCTTTTATGGCAGAGATACCATGCTCTGCAGTTTTATCACGTCTCTTTGTTCGTCCTAATTGAGCTGGGCAGTCTGAACCCTGCAGAATAATAATGTTATTCATCTTCGGTCACACAAGATAATTTGGGATCGGCAGTCGAATTTTCCCACATTTAAGTAGATAGACCACAGGATGCCACTCAATTG